TTGCAGGTGTTTTGAGTTGATTAGCTGATTGGCATGTCACCATATTCTAATTTGTTGAGATAGTGAATTGGTGGGTTTTTGTTAAATGTGAGCCAAAATCATCACAATTAAAAGAACCAAAGACTTAAACTACTTAAGTCTGTGTGCATTGAATTTATTTAATACACGAGTTTCACAATTTGAGTTGAATTACTGAAATAAATGAAATTTTCCACAACATTCTAATTTATTGAGATGCACCTGTATATCAGCATTTCTGGGTGTTCAGTTAGAGGAGAGAAAATCATCCCTTTGAGTTCATACTCGCTCTATTCCATCACAATATGATTGAGGCCCTTTAGCTGCATTTAAACAAATAAGGAAAAAAAAAAAAAAGTAATTATCGATCAGATTCCTGAGCTCACCCCAGCACAAGGCTCAACACAGTGGAGTAAACATCAGCCCGGAAATAAAGGAGTAGAAGAAAAAAATCGTTTAAAAGCTGTCATTACAAAGAACAGATTTAATCAAACCATCGTCGAGTTCTGGGGAAAACGGTCAATTTCAGGCTCCACTAACGCTTTAATATCAAGAAGGACATCCAATACAATTATTATCTTGATTCTACCCGTTTTAAGGCTGCGCTCCTGGGCAGCTAACAGGACAGTACCTTGTTACCGTTCAGTCTGAAGAGAATATAGTCATGGAAGGCAGAGGAAGTGCAAGTGGGCTGTCTGCTTTTCAACAACTCCAATGGTGGCCGAAATTGGATTTTGCTTAAGACAAAAAAAGGATTTCACAGAGGTAAGACACTGAAGTCTATTGCACTCACAAGTTAGGCCTCCAATAGGATGACAGAAAACTCATAATAAGAACTAAAATCGAGTCTCCTTCTAAGCACTGATAGGCTGAATATTGTGTCGTTCGCCCCCCCCACGATCAACAGGAATTTTACATAAGCGTTTATTCATAGTAAGGCAGTTTGGTGGTCTGCAGAGAGCCCAGTTACACCTCTTTACCCCCATCTTTAATACAGAGCAGCTAAAACCACAAGAAAGGAAGAACACAAAACCCAAAGACAAGAAATGAAATCGAACAGCCCTCCAAGTAGACAATTCTAGTGAAGTGTAAAATGTGTACCATATAATTTCGTATTGTGTAGTAAAATCTCTCCGTAGGATTTTTATTTTCCATGTGATTTCAGTAATATAAATGTATAGACTCAAACGCCATTTTGTTCTGCCTCTGAACATGTTGCCATACAAACGGCCAGGCAGCCCATCAAATAAAGTGAGCTGGTTTATGAGTACTGAAGATCACAATCAGTTTTGAAGTTTATCCGTTATAAACACGAGCAGTGACGGTACCATCAGCAGGCTTGAACTGTATCTAGTCCTTATAGAAAACCTTGCACAGCATCCTCGAATGTCTTTTTCCATGAAATCGAATGAACGTATACAAGGTTCCCGCTCGTGCCACCATCTCCAACTCCCCGGCTCCCCGTTCTCGCTTCGTTAAGACATTCTCATCTTCAAGTCCATCCGAAATGCACAAACGAATTCGCTCAGGTTTCCCTTTTTTGTTTTACGTGACAAAAAAGTTCTTTAGGAATGGCATTTCCAATCTTGAATGGAATTGCTGAGAAACTCATGCAGGGGTGTGTACAGTCACAGTAATGGTGATAAGACTTCTTTCAATTGAGGGTAACATAATGATGACACTAAAACTTGATATGAAACATATCAGTGAAAGGGAAGGAAAGGTGTCAGGTGGGAGTGGGGGTCAGGTGGGGGGGGGCTCCGTGGAGGCGGCGAGTTCAGAGCTTCTCTGCGGACGGGATCCAGATGTAAGGGCCTGACTGCTCTTCAATGATCAGCTTGATTTTATTAAAGATCTCATCTAGTGAGTCACCCTGGACTATGGCTGTAAAAAGACAGAGAGAGCAACAGTCATACTACTGTATACTGTTAAACAGTAACAGAGGTGCTGGACTAAAAGATTTCCTCTGGATACAGTTAAGAGAAATCACATGATGGTGTGGTGTGGGGAGGGGGGTTACCTGTGAAATACTCTCCAAACTCTTGTTCGAGCTTCACTGCCTTATCAAAGACTTTATTAGCTTGCTCATATGTCTGCCTCTTATTCATTTCCCTGATAAGCACAAAGAAGTACATTACGTATTTCACAATGCATAAGCACATACTGCAGTTCAGAAAAACACTACCATTCAAAAGTTTGGGGTTGTGAGGAATTAGTTTTTGAAAGGAGTCTTTTTTTGTTTAAGGCTGCATTTATTTGATCAAAAATGCAGTAAAAACAGTATTTTTGATTTTTTTAGAAGCCATTACTCCAGTCTTTAGTGTCACATGATCCTTCAGAAATCTAATATGCTGATTTGCTGCTCAAGAAACATTTCTTATTATAAATACTGAAACCAGTTGTGCTGCTTTTTGTGGAAACCAGTATTTTTTAGTTATATATTTCTATTTCAAATTCTATCAAATTTAACACATTTTTGCTGAATAAACTATATAAAATAAAATAAAAACTGGCACCAAGCTTTTAAACGGTAGTGTATACATTTAATTTACAAAATCTTAAACTTACATCAGGGCCTCCACAGATTTTGGCTTGATGAAAATGGCGATTGGATAGAGCTATGCTTGCTGCAGCCGCTTTATGGCATTCCCAGACACATCCAGGATACAGTGTTTCCCCTACAAGAGGATTAAAGAAACCCTTTCACCCTGTGTCACACTTTCACTGCACACAGTAATTGCACCGGAAAATATTGAAGGTTTAAACAGGAGTTCAGATCCTCTGGCATGTTTACACTAGGGAGTCACTGACCCTTTCAGCCACTGCCCGAACAGACAGGATGCTGGTCCCGTACAGATTCTCATTGAACTGGCCGGCCTCGATAAATTTGTTGTCCTGAATGTCCTTCTCCATTTGCTCCCTTGAAGCCACAAAATGGTAGTCCTGCCCGTCCATCTCATTCTCTCGCTGAGGACGAGTTGTATCTGAAGAAACGTGTGTATGTCTTGCTTTACTTTTACAAGTACTGTCAAAACATTTGATGATAAAGATGTTCTGCATGTAGCCAGCATGGCCTTTTCTTATTACACTCACGTGGAACGCAGGATCCAAACTTGTGAGGGAACTCTGAGATCAAGTCATCGTTTACTCTGTCCTTCATTGGACCCAGGATAATTACAGGCCTTGTGTAATGGACTGAAAAGAAAGCCAGATCAATGTTGGTCAAAAACTTCAAGCCTTGAGAATAATTTCTTGGCTTTCCTCATGGAGGACATACCATGGAAAACAGGATTTTCCTTTCTTTTTTTAAATACAAGCTCCCTCCCCAGTCCACCCAGACCGTTTACAAAAACTAAACTGCAAAAACGACTCATTTACAAATGGCCACATTAACGGATGATGTTCATATTTGCATATCAGCTATTGTTTATTCAACACCTTGACCCACCCTAATGAAAGACAGCTTAAACTATGGCACATACACTTCATGTTAAGAAGTAAAGCCATCATAAAAGAGGTTATTTACATATAGAAATCCTCAAGGTACAGCAGCAAAAACAGCCTGTTTAATTGTAAAGTTAGTTCACACTGCTACAGCAAACACAAACACACCCAACTTGTGTCATGTATACTTGAACAGAGAAATGTAGACTGTAGCTTGACCACACAAAAACTAGATCATAACTGAGCATGGTCAACGCTGCAACTAATCCAAAAAAACATAACCAATGGAATTTGTTGTGTGTTAGCATGTGGGCAGTGAAAACTAGGATGAAGGGTCAGAGTGAGACTGGGATGGAAAACTAAATTACAATAATTTCAAGCATTATAAGTGAACTTCAAGTAAAAAAAACAACAACTGTAGAATGTTGTTTGTGTGTATGAATACTTACTCTCCTGTCGAATTACTGGCTCATATGATAGAATTGTGTCTTCCTGACCCTCTGCATGATGAGAAAAGATAAAATTATCCACATGAAACATGAAGGTTTCATTTATCACTATTTAATACAGAGACAATACACTTGAATTACCACTGGAATGAACGTGTAGATGACATGACCATAGCGATGGACCAGTTTTGTTTTATTTTTTTTAAAGCACTTAAAAGGTTACTAGCATGACACTGAACAAATGGAATGCTGCAGACCTTTGCAGACTACACTCAAAGTCCCTTTAAGACAAGTAATGTCACTCGGCAGCCATCTTTGAAATGCCTCTCGGGCATGCAAGTGCAGCTCCTATCTCTTTGATTGGGGAAACATCAAATTCTCCAAAACTGTTCGCCAAGCTTACAATTAAATTTCATATTTGAAATCACCAATGAAATCTGACAACAACTGTCTCATAAATGTGGTTTAATATGCTCCAATAGCATAAAAAAAGCTTATTTTTCAAGCTAAACCAGCCAATGCGCATTGCAGTGCTAAGCGCGCGTCTCCAGAAAGCTGACTGTTTCTATAGCAACCGGGACTTCTAACAGCAGCTACAGTGACGCAATTACTTTACTGAATAGCAATTGGCTCTCTTACTCAGAAGGCGGGGCTTCCTTCAATAGAGATGCCATATTGAGAGTTGCATTTTTCCCCCATTTAAAACTATACGAGTGACACGTCTTAGGTATTCTATAGTCTTTGCTACACTGGGACAGATTTAATGCAGTAAGCATAAGGTAATGGATGTTTCGAGCTACTTACTGGAGCTGCTTTCGCTGTCACTGGTGTTCGACGTCAAGCATTCTGTGGATATAAGAGGAGGGAAGTTTACAAATTTTTGCCTATATGCAAGATTAATAGCATATCCAGCACGGCTCAGAATGAAACTATACACCCTCCCGTACCATCATACCAAGAATAGTAATGACTGAGTGAGGAAAGGAAAACAAACAGAGAACACTTTTGGGCACTTAAATGGCTGCCGTTTCCTTAGAAGGGAAATGGTAGGATGAGGCAGCAATAGGAAATTAAGTATTTCCTTTTCCTATGACCCTAATGATCTTAGATTCCATGCTGAGCGTTTTCTATGACCTTGCCAGTGTTCAGTTCATCAGACAGTGATACTGCTCCTCATGCCAAAGTAAACAAGCCAGTGTTGGGTTCCTTACAGGAATCAAATAACAAACATCCCTTAGAGACAGTGACAACATGATAGTGCTGGGATACTTAAAACATTAAACATGCACTCAATCCTGCCAAATATGAGCTGGCTCTGAAGACACTATGGCACCTGGAGAGGTCTGCCTTGATTCACTCGCCCTTCAGTGTATCATATGCAGTGTTGGTCAGTAACGCATTACTTAGTAACGCGTTACTGTAATTTGATAACTTTTTTTAGTAACGGAGTAATTTAACAGTTTATAATTTTCAAAATAGTAATTAGAGTATAGTTACAAGCCGAGGTCTCTATACGTTACTGCCGTGTTACATTGCTGGCAGAATGCAGTGATTTCTAATCTAGATTGTAAAAGGGGTGTAGCACACGCACTGTCGAGTCAAGTGCCAGTGGATTAGCCTAGAGACCTGCTCTCCCGCGAGACCCAAAGCAACAGAGTGCGGCTCGGGACAAGACTTGATAGGCGAGTGCAGAGACTCGTGTGTGTGTGTGTGTGTGTGTGGGATGCGGGAGAATAAAATGATTCACGGGACTCCCGCAAAATAGAAATATCTAATAAATGCAGCGCTCTTTGCTGGCATTCTGCCATGCCAAACCATGCACGCAGCAGTGCTTGCTTTAGTTAAAAATAACAGTGTTCTGTGAATGTTGATGCTTTAATAACAAATACTTATCGAGAGCGTGTGTGCTGGGATTTCATGAATTTCAAGGAGAGAAAAAAGTAACGTAACTAGTAGTGTAACTAATTACTTTTGAAATAAAGTAATCAGAACAGTAACGTGATTACTTTTAAAAGGAGTAATCAGTAATTTAATTACATTTTCAGAGTAACTTGCCCAACACTGATCATATGGCAATCCGATCTTTGATATAAGAATATTTGTGTGAATGATTTGAGTTTCAAGTCAATATGAAATCAAAAACTGAGCTTGCCTGAATTTACCACATCTTTAAGCCTACTGTATCATATAAGATACACAAATTTATAAGGCCTCTAAATTATCAACATGATCAAAACTTTTTACTGAAAAAAAAAACTGTTGTACACAATCTACTACAGGTACATGTGTTCTGTCATCTAACTGATAGTTCTTAAGCAAGTAAAAGGCCTTTTAGTATCATCTAAACACCTCTTCAGGTCATCGTTTGTGTGAAATTTTTACTGTGAAATCTTTACAGATTTTTATAAAGTAAACTTAAGAAAAACTGTTATATTGTTAGTAATTATTCAAAATTAACATTTACCGGACAGAAGCAACTTAAGTTCCCTTTCATGGGAACTTCGAACTGCGTCCTCTAGGGGTCGCTATGGGGAACGCCTCGTCGTGACGCGTTCCCCATAGCGACCCCTAGAGGACGCAGTGTCTCGTTCCCTACTCAGGGAACCATGGTTACATAAGTAACCTGAGACGTTTACTTGATTATCCATACATCATTTTTTAGAAAAAAACATGTTGAAAAGTGAGTATCATATATATCATATACGATACATCAGGCTTTTGAGGAACATTTATTTGTATATTTTTCAAACATTGTACTGTACTGCATTATATGTTTTACAACACAATAAATACTTAAGAGCTTTGATCATAAATAGCAAATATCATCCTAATAACATATATGGTTATTTCTCATTTTTGCCAAATTGCATATTTTCCTCCTTGAGTGTGAGCTCCATATTCTCACTATATCAGATACTATATGAGCCATTAAAGCCTGATGTATCCAATATGATATTAAACAAAAAACATATGCCTATTTTTAAGAATTTTTTTTATCTCAAACTGTTTACAAGGTTAAATCTATCAAAATGTAATAACTTGTTCTTCCTCTGTAATTACTTTGTTTTCATTTAGGCTATACAGATTATTGGATAATGTTAACCAAATGACAATACTCATTTAAAGGCACAATATGTAATTTTCGCAGCTAGAGGGCGCATATTCAAAATAAACAAATAGACAAAGGCGTAGTTTGATGACGCCGTGACTGAGTGTGGAATCATGAGAGTTGCCGTCTTCATTCCCACAGCCGATGCAATCCGACGGGACTCGGGCAGTACTCATGTTTATGGATGAGCTAATGATTTATTAATGTAGTAGAATGAAGTGGGGTGAGGCTGAAAGCCGTCGAAGCGAAACGAGGCCGCTGAACGAGCGTGACACACGGGTCGAAAGCAGCGGAGCTTTTATTATGCCACAGTCGACCGCTTACACTCCTTCCGGTCGTGCGTATGTGGGGGAAAAAAAGCAGTGCTGTTTTATCATACTAGATACATTTGAAAGTTCTGTTATAATGCTACTCTGTGCGGTCGTCACCGGTCTATTAAAACGCACAACATATTAAAGTGTCTTTGGTGTTTCCATGTTTTCTACAAAACAAAACCGGAAATCGAGGGGTTATGACGTCATTGGCAGGCGACACAATGACACTATGGACACGGTCCATGTCACTAGTTAAAATTGCTTTATTCTCTGGATTTAAACATTCTTCTAAACATTTGGGATAATGTATGTACACAAGTCAGCAAAATACATAACACTGTTCTAGTGGTTTTTAGATATTTTAATAAAAATCTTACATATTGTGCCTTTACGCATAGTTTTAGCAAACTCGCATTAGTCCTGGCTCCATATTGTTATGTTACACTCACTTTTCACCTTTTAATCAACACTTGATGGACATAATCAAGTCCTACATTTTTAGTTGCTAAACATCTAGTTTTACTAAAATTAGTTGCAAACAGCAAATAATGTGTACTTTTTTAAAAGCAAATGACTCTTAAGGTAGAGAGGAGATTCAGTGAGAAAGAGAGAGGGAGGAACAGAAAGAAAGAATAAAATGTGTGTGGTGTGTGGCACAGCCGGTTCAGTTAGTTCAGGGAACAGCTGCTTGACAAGAGGAACCACACACTTACTCAAACTCTTTGATCCATAAAAGTCATCGCTTAACCCTGGGAAGTCCTGAGCGTCCCGACAGGTGAAAGCAAGAACAAAGAGAGAGAGCAGAAAGGAAGAAGAAAGAGGTTAGTGAGAGGCTGGGAGAAGAGAGGTGTTGCACTCTCGAGGGATGAAGGAATACTAACATCAGCTTGCTGTGCGATGAAAGATCTGGGTTGTCCATTTGTAATTTAAGTACAGGGGCTTCCCATGCATATTCATCTGAAACAAAATTAAATTGCAAATGCTGAAGGGAACAGCTCTAACAATGATGGATGTTTGAGCACAGCATTTGAGTGTTAGTGCAGCCTCACACCTGTGAAAAGTGCTAAGTTCCCCCTCAGAGCAAGACAAAGGCCAGAGAGGACCCGATTGGCTGTTTCCTCACAGAAAGGTCAAGAGCCAATCAGAAGCCATCTCCAGAGTGAGTGACAGTGACAGGATGAAGCATGAAGGACAGAGTCACAGCCCTCGTCACACGCTCATACTCACGTTCAGTCTCCACCAACTCCTGCACTATATTCTCCTTGCTCTTGTAAAACGGGAACTTGCGTGATAGGTTGAAGCTTTTTTTGCGCTTTACTTTGACTGGCTGAGTGGAGACGAGTCGATGGTGGGGGAATGGGGATGAGGAATGAAACAAACAAAAAAACAGAATGGGTTTCAATGTAATTCACAGCACGCATGCAAAAATATAACCAAAGATGACATGGTTGCACAAACATGGGGGATAATGAATGTAAACCATTTGGATGCTACATTCAGAACAAACATTTTTAAGTTTGTTTTAATAAAGTTTTAACTGTGAATGTAACAGGGAATACATTAATTGAACAATGAAAGATGTGAAATATCTTCTTGTCTTCACTGCACAAATTGCAGAAGAAAATCATGGGTGTCAATGGTAAATAAATAAAGGTGAAGTGCACAGTTATTTCTGTGAAAATACTTTTTTGACTTCCGGTTAAATGTGCCTGGTACTAAATGTAGTCAACTACACTACCATTCAAAAGTTTGGGCTCAGAAAGATTTTATGATCCTTCAGAAATCATTTTAATATACTGATTTGGTGCTCAAGAAACATTTCTTATTATCAATGTTGAAATCAGTTGTGGAAACAGTGATAATTGTTTTTTTTTCCAGGATTCTTTGAATAAAAATAGAAATAGAAAAAAAAAAAAAAAAAAAAAAAAAAAAAAAAAAAAAAAAAAAAAAAAAAAGAACAGCATTTATTTCAAATGGAAATCTTTAATAAAATTATAAATGTCTTTACTGCCATTTGAATGTGTCCTTGTTGAATAAAAGTATTAATTTCTTAAAACATTTTTTGAATGGTAGTGTACAATTTGTAGACTGATTTTCTGACACTGTGCACATTGAAAACATTGCTGTTTGTTTGAGCATCCCGACCTGTCCATTACACACTTAAAAGTTTAGTTCACCCAAAAATAAAATCTGGTCATCATTTACTCACCCTTATGTCGTTCATTCTGCCAAACATCTCCTTTTGTGTTCCATGAAAGAAAGAAAATCACACATGTTTTGAATAACATGAAGGTAAATGACAACTGTAATTTTTGGGTGAACTATCCTTTTAAAGTACAATGAAGTGTTTCCTCAATCCTGGTTCTGGAGGGCCCCCAACAGCCAATTCAGGTCATAGAGCACTTTACTAACGAGTAGAGGAGTTGAATCAGGAGTGTGGTGAGGGAAACATCAGAAATGTGAAGTATTGGGGGGCCTTTAGGACCAGGATTGAGGAGCATTGATCTAACCATCATAGCTGATTATGATGGCACAGGGCATGTTTGTAATTTTACACTTTTGTTTGTGTGTCGCTGTGAGAAATGAGATGCTCAGTAACAGGAGCCTCCAGGATACTGTGAGAAGCCACCAATTCCCACACTCAGGGGAAGTGGGGCAGCTCCTATGAGTCTTTCACAGGAGGAGGATGACTTACTCACCCTGTTGGACTCAATCATGCCCGTCCTTGCATGGAACTTGACTGTTTTTAACCGTGCACGCTCTTTCTTTTCCACCCTGTGGATCAAAAAATAAAAATGTATGATTGGCAATGAACACCCCATTACTACAGGGGAAATGTTGTAATTCTATCTGGGCTTGTTGGCAGTACTGTACCTTTTCTTGCTTGGTATAACCCCAATTTGCTCACTCTCCCCATGGGGTGTAACCAGCCGTGCCTGCCACCACTCATCATCAGAGGCATTGATGACATGCAGGATGTCCCCATAGGAGAAACTCAGGCCCTGGCTAGGGAGGCAACTGTCCCTGGTCCTGTCGTAGTCAAAAAGAGCCCTGGGAAAACCAAACGAAACAACACATACATCAACAGTGCGCTAGAAGAGCGGGTGTTCAGGTTTGATTAAAGGATGGGTGTGGGGATACACATACAGAGACAAAAGTACATCACTGGACATCTGCACCTTTTTGTTTAAATTTGTTTTGCAGATACTTTCTCACTAAAAGCAACTTACAAAACACTTCCTACTAGGGTTGTGATGGTGAGGAAATTTTCCCACTGGTTAATCGACGTGTGACAACACCAATAATACTGGTATCACAATGGGGGCAGGGGTGTTTCCTCATTTCCTCGCTTTCCTTCGCTTTTAAATGGCTTGTAAAAGCAGCGTGCACATTTTACTTTCACTTTCAAATAGCGGCAATTTGGCGTAAAGCAATTGTTCATTTGAATTTTCCCTCTTTTCCTCGCTTTCCTTCGGTTTTATATAGCTTAAAAGCACCGTGCGCATTTTACTTTCATTTTACTTTTACTTTGAATTAGCGGCAATTCGGCGTCAATTGCTTGAATGCAACAACAAAATACAACGTCAAACTCACTTTAGCCTATATATAAAACATAGAACTTTTATCAACAAAACAAATAAAAATACACCATGCTATAGGGCAGGCTATGCCTAATATAAAATAACAAATAACTTGCATAAAGTTTAAATAGGTAGCCTATACAAAACTGGAAATAAGTAGAAACATGTGTAATATATAACCAAATAAATAAGAAACGTAGAAATTTTATTAGCAAAACGAATAAGAAAGCTTGGAGGCACGGCATACACCTTGATGTCAAATAAAATAAATAAATTACACAAAGTTTAAATAAAGTAAAAATCAGCAAACACTGTGGAACTCACCCCACTCTTCTTGTCAGTCAGCTCGACTCACTCTCTTCACTGGATAAATTAAATCTGATCTGTGATGCGAATGTCGTTTGGCACACTGCATTGAGCAGCCGTGTTCCATTTTTAATTGTAGTGTCTGTTCTTTTACTGAAATAAATTATTTTTATTACTATAAAAAAAATCAAAACGACGGTGGGGGTCGGTGCCGAGGTGGGCAAGTGATGTAACCGGTGTTGAGGCTTAACAACGGTAACACCGTCAGCACCGTCTATCGCGGCAAGCCTACTTCCTACCAAAGGCACAGCAACCAATTTATAAATATTTAAGTACAACCTCCCACTTTTTTATTTTTTTCCAAATTTAAAGCACTGTTCAAAAGTTCAGAGTCAATTTTTTAAAATGGTTTTGAAAGTCTCATGTTCACTAAGGCTGCATCTATTTAAAAAAAACAGTAAAAACAGTAATACTGTGAAATTTTATTACAATTTTAAAAAATTTAATATTTTTAAAATGTAATTTATTCCTGTGATGGCAAAGCTGGATTTTCAGCAGCCATTACTCAGTCTTCAGAGTCACGTGATCCTTCAGAAATCATTCTAATATACTGATTTAAAGCAGCTGTGTTGCTTAATATTTTTGTGGAAACAGTGATACATTTTATATGATTCTTTGATTGATAGAAAGTACAAAACAAAACCGCATTTATTTGAAATCAAAATCTTTTGTAAAATTATAAATGTGACCCTGGACCACAAAACCAGTCTTAAGCAGCACAGGTATATTTGTAGCAGTAGCCAAAAATACATTGTATGGGTCAAAATAATATATTTTTCTTTTATGCCAAAAATCATTAGGATGTTAAGTAAAGATCATGTTCCATGAACATATTTTGTAAATTTCCTACCAAAAATATCAACCCTCTACATTGCGAGTAAATCACTCGCATATGCGACTAAATCTTACTCTGGGCGACTAAATAACGTCTGGGAGGAATCATATGTGTGTTTGTGTGTGTGTGTGTGTGTGTACCTACTTGGACAAATTTGTACCCAAAAGTGAGCAAAACCTGACAAAATCGGCAAAAACCTCAATTTGTGGATGTCCTCATTTGTAAAACTGTTATAAAAATAAAGTAAACAGTTTTTTTTTTAC